TTCATTTTGTAAATCTGTTTTGTCAATTGCAAAGTCTGTGACCTATGTAAATACTGTAATCAACAAGTTGCCAAAGTGCTTGCACTTGAAAAAAATAAAGCACTTCTAATTTTGAAAGCATTTTTTGTTATTTTGTTTAGTATGTTGGTATTTGATGACAGACAGGCATCAATTCTGAATAGTACATTTTTTTCTTATGAGTTAACAGTTAAAAGTCCATTAATGAGTGTCGACAATCAGTGATAAAAAAAAATCTGAAATAAACATCCATACTTGGGAACAGCAAATTGAAACACTGAACTCCATTCATGCTCAGAGTTGGTTGGTGTTCATTTGGACATGAGCACATCATTACCAAAGAAATATGTTACAGGATGTCGTGGCAACAGGACAGTGAAACACCAGGGGCCTGCACTACAAAGTGGGTTACTGGCTTATCGGGGGAACTTTTCGGATTTAAGGTAGTCTGGGCAAAATGTAAGTGAACGAATATGAAGTCCATTTAAATTGTGGTACCGACAAGTTACCCCGATAAGCCAGTAACCCCACTTCGTAGTACAGGCCACAGCTCTCTGGGGTGAGCCAGCTATGCCCTTCCGAAAGAGAACATGCCACCATACTTTCCTTCACAAGAATTATCTTTAACATCATTCGGGAGGGTGAGGGCATATAGTCCTGTGTTTGAACAATCTTCTCACATAAGCGACTCAGAAAGGTTCAGCGTTAGCTCACCTCACCTCGCATGCCCTGATCACAGTGGGGAATTCCCATGGCACCGTATCATCTTCACTCAACTCGGGTGCATAAGATGACCAGATAATCCCTGTCAGGGGGGCACTTTGAGCTCAGACAGGGTTTGTAAAGGACCATTTCAATTAATAAGACCAGGATTTCACTTAGCACTGAGTTCTTGCTGTGCGCTGATTGGTCAGTCTCCTATAATGATGCACGTGTCACTAATGTTAACGTCAATCAACTGGATGAGTCTTTCAATCAAGGAAACAAACCAGTCAAAGCACAATAAGAACTGAACTATTTAGCCAAGTGCAGGAGCCTTTATGTTAAAGTAGTTTGTAAAACCTGAAGTAGCTTATAGTGCCCCCCATCATGGATTATCAGGCACATCAATTACCTCAGGCAGGGGTGCAGTAAAGGGGACGGGGTCTTAGGAAGAGGGACTCAAATATTTGGAACATAACTGGATTGGGGGCCCAATATTTGTAGAGCCACCCCTGACCTCAGGCAAGTGCGTAACTTTTCCTAAAATTTTTTTTTTTTATTAAATTCCTTCCACCAGCAACAGCAGTCAAACTATAACTCTGACAAACACAATCAGAGTATTTAGGAATCATAAGAAGCAGAACAAAATTAAAAGTAATGACCTTCTCCCTTCAGTCTTTGTCAGGCCTTATAAAGGAATTGATCAAATGTGAATCAGCCTATTAGAATGGAAAAGTAAAGGCTGTAATAGTGTGAGGGATGGCGAACACAGACGAACTCACCGAAAGGGCAGCGGAGTTATAAAAGACTATTACAATCCGGGTCGTAAGACTAATACTAATAACAACAACAACTAATAATAACTGCTACTCAGCCTTAGTGCTCTATGTAACAGGCAATACACTTACCTTGCTCTCAAACAGCTTATTGTAGGCTACAATCAAACGGTCCTTTTTCGCTGTTTTAGCAACATTTTTTATGTTTCCCAGTAGCTTATGTTCAGCGAGAAACTGCAGGGTGACAAGTATTGAAATTTTACAATAAGAACAATCGGACATAAAAAATTAAGACACTACAACCTAATTGACAAAAGTATATATGATATTAATACATTGTGCACCTAAATAAGTATTGTACGTATGGGTAATATATTTTGCTGTCCGACTCTGACATTTATTGGCATTAATATTTATCAGATTTTTCTGGTACACGGAGGTTGGAATGGTAACTTAGTTTACTTGCTAACTGCCTATAGCCTCCATGCAGTAACCTGATGCGACATGTGCGCACTTCGGTTAGTGAATCGGTCTAGTTAAACAGTAAGCTAGCGCGCAAACCGCTGCATTACTCAAACACTGGTCATACCGACTGGGCCGCGTTATCCTGCAAGAATTTGATTATATCTTTTTTTGGAAGATCATCACTTTGAAGCTGCTCGTCACTCCACTCCCTGCTTGGTTCGGCAGCCATCTTGGATGTAAACACCGCAACCTTTTACCTCACTGTGGTTTGGACAGTTTTACTGGCGCTGGGCGGAGCCACTGCGGTGAAAGCATGGGGCAGAAACCGGCGGGAACAGTAGGTGGCAGAAGAGCGGCGCCGCTCCGAGGCTGATTAAAGGTATCGCAAATCGAAAGGTCCTTCATATGCGAGCACACAATGCTGGGAACTGCAAATATAAAGGAATAGGAACTCTTCAAGTAGCCAAGCTGGAGACTATCACTGGTAGAGGCAAAATGCATGGATATATCCTGAACAGGATGATGGCCTCCAACAGGGCACACACACACAATAATATACTATGGACAATTTGGAGATGGCAACTAGCTTCTTTGCAGAGTTTAGAGACGGGTAATTCTCTTTAATCAATTTTGATAGGGAGAGAAGATCAATATGATGTAATCAGAAATGGAACATTGAATAAAAAGTAACGTTATGCTCCTGAATAATGCTTGTATAATCCTCCATTTGGGGAGAAAAAAACGTTTTGTTTCTAACATAACACTCGCAGCTCGGGGGATGAATCCACTCAAATACATGAACATGCACACTTAGAAGTATCCCAAGAGGAACCGAAGAAACGGGCCTTCACAAACATAGTAACAGCTTGAAGATGGTGAAGAGCCTGGGCAGCGAAGGAGGTCAGCAGGAGCCCAAAGAACGCAAAAGTAGTCGCTAAACCCAGGCCTAGCAATGCGAAAAATACACGCACCCCAAAAAGACAACTTAAATCGATCTAATCTTTGCGATAAAGAATCTTTTACATTAACCATCTACCATCTTCAAGAAAAAGCAAAAGATTTTTATCTTGTCATGAATCAATAAAGGCAACACAAGTAATTTGAATACTTAAGTAAAGCTGATGTCTTGGCTGAATTGTTTTAAGACTTCTGCAATACGAAGCAGTAGAATATGTGTTAGTATTATTATTTTATTATTATAAAGCATTAATTATTAGAAGATTATTTCAGGGGGGTGGTAAATATTAAAAGTGATTGTACTTAGATACATTATAACCATCATATCTTCTATCAGCAATACTTCCATATAACGCCACACTATTTTAGCAACGTTTATTATTGGCTGCCCCAGTTCTTTCAGATGATTGGACGAAATACATTTAGAGTTGTGACCAATCACAACACACTATTTCTCTATAAGTACGGTATTCACTGAGCTTTTCCCTGTATAAGCAGAACACAAAACCTAAGATGAGCGGAAGAGGTAAAACCGGTGGCAAAACTAGGGCTAAGGCCAAGACTCGTTCTTCCAGGGCTGGCTTGCAGTTCCCTGTTGGCCGTGTCCACAGGCTGCTCCGCAAAGGTAACTACGCTGAGCGAGTTGGTGCTGGAGCTCCGGTCTATTTGGCTGCTGTGCTAGAGTATCTCACTGCTGAAATCCTGGAGTTGGCTGGTAACGCTGCCCGCGACAACAAGAAGACGCGCATCATTCCTCGTCACTTGCAGCTTGCCGTTCGTAACGACGAAGAGCTGAACAAACTGCTGGGCGGCGTGACTATCGCACAGGGCGGCGTGCTGCCCAACATCCAGGCTGTGCTGCTGCCCAAGAAGACTGAGAAGCCGGCTAAGACCAAGTAGACAATCGGATCTGTTTGACGGCATAACTCAAAGGTTCTTTTAAGAACCATCTACCCATGTTTAAAAGTGGCAAACTCGAATACATGACTAACCATTTCCCCCCCACTATAACGTAAAAATGCTAAATGTCGTTTCGCAATATGCGTGTTGCGTCTTTGGCCAACAAGATATGCATACATCTTCCTCAACGATATCTCGCGCTTTATATAAGGGTCACCTATCCGAAATGCAAACAAGTAACAGATTTTTTTTTAGTATATGACGTTGACATTTAGCTAATATTTCATTTTACATGCGTTCATAATTTTGACTATTGTTGCTTCAGTGTTGCAGTATGCTCAACAATGTTATGTCTGCATCATGCTTCTGTTAATAGTGTGGTTTCATTCACTTTTTAAAAATAATTACTATTGGTGTTTGATCATAGAAAATAAATTAACTATTAAAACTGAAATTCCACGAACAGCAAAAAGTTTTAAATCTCATTTAAATGTTTTAACTTAAAATTGATTTTTTTTTATGATTCGTTTACTTGGTTAATCGTACATTTCGTTCAAAGGGCACTTTAAATCCAGTTTGGATCTACCTATTTATGCTGAGATTTTATCGGCGCCGACCTTCATTAAACAATTACGATTGTTATTTAATCGCTAGGCTTATATAAAACTTTATTTGTTGGATTTACTGTTGTGACCATGTATGAATAGGCCTATTGTTTGTGCGCGCGGCAACGCTTGCATGCTTCAACCACATAGTGGGGATTGTAGGTCGAGAACTGCGGAAACCCATGGCCTCAAAGATTCCCCGACTAAGCCAATATTAAGCGATTTCGTTGAAGGAACTATTAGTGCAACGTGATCACTGATTAGTAGTGTATGTTAAGTGTGCATGTTAATCTCTAAGATTAGTAGTTCATCTAGTGTCTTAGTGTTTTAAATGTAAGCTTTTATGCATGCTACAAAAACCAGTTCCGTTTTTAAACGCTTGCCCAAATATGCTTTAAGTATCGATATAATTTCAGAGCAGAAACGGATGGGGTACCAATAGTAATTTGAATATTTGGCGGAACTAGGGGTCTCAGTCGAACCAATGGAAGCTCCGAATAATTTCATCCAATCAGCTTGTCTGTGTCCGCTTTATAAAGCTGGGAGCCATTTGAAAACCAAAGCAGAGTAACGTCACAATGGCGAGAACCAAGCAGACCGCGCGTAAGTCCACCGGCGGCAAAGCGCCTAGGAAGCAGCTGGCTACCAAAGCGGCACGTAAAAGTGCTCCAGCCACAGGCGGCGTCAAGAAACCTCATCGATACAGGCCCGGAACTGTGGCTCTGCGAGAGATCCGGCGTTACCAGAAGTCCACCGAGCTGCTGATCCGCAAGCTGCCCTTCCAGCGTCTGGTGAGGGAAATCGCTCAGGATTTCAAGACCNAGGATTTCAAGACCGACCTGCGCTTCCAGAGTTCGGCTGTTATGGCGCTGCAGGAGTCAAGTGAGGCCTATCTGGTTGGTCTGTTTGAGGACACCAACCTGTGCGCCATTCATGCCAAGCGAGTCACCATCATGCCTAAAGATATTCAGCTGGCTCGCCGTATCCGTGGTGAACGTGCATAAACTGGTTTTCATTGACGGTCCCGCCCTCCCTAGTTTGTGCGGAGAGAAACCAAAGGCTCTTTTAAGAGCCACTTCAATATTCCTAAAAAAGCAAATGTACCTAGTACAGTTCTCAGTTGGTTACTTGCTGGTTCCGTTGTAAGTGAAACTTAACGTGAACGTACTTTCTATTTTGCATGATTGTTTTCGTTTAGTGTGTGTGTGTGTGTGTGTGTGTGTGTGTGTGCACAACTACAAATCTGTGGTAAGATGGGTTTATTGTGTAAATTTTAAATTACAAACATTTTAGGTCTGAGACCTCGGGGCCATATCTAATCTTTCCAAAAAAAAAGTCAAGCCCCAGGTACACATGACTTTGCCCCAGATCTCTGCAGTGACTAGAAACTCCAATTCAATTCTTTTTATTGTGTACAAGTATGAGTACTGTGTACAATGACATGCTTGCTTGCATGTGCTCCTGCAGACAATGAACATAGACACAAGATGGATAGACAACAGGATGATAAGTGAATGTAATGATAATGTACCTCCTGGTATGAATGACAATTTGTGGAAGTTGGTCATTTATAGTGGAAACTCCTATTTGAAAATTGGAATTTCTAATTGGAAGCATCTTATTGCATGAAAAAATCCAAATGCACAAAACACAATGGATAATAAACCTCTCTTAAACTGGCTTGTGGCTGTGCTGTGATTATGGTTTCTCTAATAAAGATGGATTAAACTGGAAATACAGGAGGCAGGAACCACTGCTAAAATAAAAAAATACCATGAAAACTGGTTCTCACTTTGCTTAAAAGTACCTGGGTCTGTCCTGAATGTCAGTATACTGTATGTGGTGGTGCAGTAAGAATAGTGTACCAGTGGTGAGTAATGTGGGGGTGTGATGGTTTGGGGGTGTTTTGCTGCCTTAGGACCTTGACAATGCACCTTATTGAGGGAATCATTAATTCTGCATCTATCCACAAGGGAATGTAACAAGACAGTGATTCCATATATACAAGGAAGATAACAGCACAATGGCTGGGGAATGTGACAGCAATTGAAAAGAAGCGTTCATGCTTGAAAATATCACTGAGCTAAAGCAGCTCTGAATAGAGGAGCGTGACAAAATTGGAGGAGAAGCCTTTGCAGCTCAGGGAAGTCTAGTCAGTTATTCAGCAGGGGGGTGCTTATCCATACAGGTTCTTAGATATTAGCAGGGTCCACACCAGATATAAAAATCAGTCATCCTTCCAATTTCTAAATAATGGTAGAAATAAATAAGGTGACTCTTACCATTGTCACGGTTCCTTCTGTGATTATAGAATGAATGCTTACCGCAAATGAATGTTTTCATGCTTTATTGAGCTTATCGCACAAATGTATACACTGACTTGCTAACACATCAATGGCATAATTTCAAGCACACATACTGTTAAATATATTGCAATTTGAAAACAAAAATATCTGCCCAATACTTCATCACAGTTATATAATTTTAGAGCTTTTAAAACGAAATTGTTAATATATCATATTGCAAATACAACTATTCATCTTCCCTAATGATTATCCAACACAGGGTTGTTTAGCCTTGAGATACATATGTGTGTGTGTGTGTGTTGCCGGGTAAAGTATCCACGAAACAACAAGCAACTTTTTATGTGGGATCTTTTATTCAATGCAGGGACACCGAACCGGGACAATTTAACCATCCCATTTATTAAATAAAGAAAAGAAAATTACAATTTGCCCTCCGTAAAAAAATCCAAATTTAAGAAAACCCTTAAATCAGGCAAGCCAGAAGTTTTATAAACCCCTTATTCTCGTTCGAAAGTAGAAAATAATAAAAAAAAGAAAACATGAAAAAGATCCCCAGTACAATTACAGTAGTGACAGTCCCCTTTTATCAGCCGTTTCTCCACACGTGGCTTCCTCAACACCTCTCTTCACCCAGCAACTACCACCTGCTGAGCTCACCAGGCCAGACCACCACCGCGTCCACGCTCAATCCTCCCTCATCTGACGTCCTCCTAAATCTGACGCTTCCAATTTCTCCTTGGTTACAATAAACCCCAGGGATTTCCCCAAATATCTCACTAATAATTCAGACCAAATGAGGATCCCTCTTCTTCAGTAACCGCATGTCCACCAAACCCAAACACGCTTCCCTTTCCCTTTACGCAGAGTGATGACCTCACTCCGCAGCGTCACTCCCTTAAAGGGACTACGTTCCTCCCTGTATTTCCACCCGGTTACATATATGTATATGTACATCTGTATAACGTATATACATAAAACGGCCCGTATTTATCTATCCATCACACTAGTAATATACTAATAATGTTTGGGAAAGGGCAGCTTGCTGGCAGTGGGACCAGGGTTCGAGTCTCCACCTTGGTTCCATGTGTGTGGAGTTTGCATGTTCTCCCTGTGTCGTGGGGTTTCCTCTGGGTATTCCAGTGTCCCCCTCAGTCCAAAAACATGTTAAATTGTCCATTGGTGTGCGTGTGTAAGTGAATGTTGTGTGAGAATGGCCTGTGATGGGTTGGCGCCCCATCATGGGTTGCTCCCAGCCTTGCACCCATAGTTTCCAGGATAGGTTCTGGACCCTCCATGACCCTGAATAGGAAAAGTGGTTACAGAAAATGGATGGATGGATGTTTGGGAAAAGGGAGGTTTAGGGTGAGGCAGTCTGTTGGTGCAGTGGTTAGCACTGTCGCCTCACCTCTGGATCCTGTCGCCTCACCTCTGGATCCTATCGCCTCACCTCTGGATCCTGTCGCCTCACCTCTGGATCCATGGTGTAAGTCTCTGTTATGGCTGTGTGTGGAGTTTGCATATTCTCCCGTGTCGTTGTGGGGTTTTCTCTGGGTACTCTGGTTTTCCCCCGCAGCTGAAACCCACAGAGTGTGTGAGTTTGAGCCCTGAGATGGATCGGCGCCCCATCCTGCCTGGGTTGCGCCCTGCCTCGCGCCTGTAGCTTCTGAGAGAGGATACAGACCCTCCACGACCCTGAACAGGACAAGTGGTTACAGAAAGGATGGGTGGATGGGTATTTGGGGTTGAGCTGGAAACACATTTGGAACTTGTAAAACAATGTTTTTATGACTAAATTAGATATCTGAGCGATGGCTTTTGAAATAGTTCCTATAATTGGCATATTGACCGCCTACAAGTCAAAAGTCAGCTCATGTGGAGCGGATTTTGTGCCACCTTGAAATGCAAACACAACTTTGACAAAATGATCGACACCATGCAGTGTTTTACAGAAACCCTGCTAGGTAGAAATGCACGAAATCTGCTTCAAAAACAGACATGTCCTTCCTCGAGAAGACTATCGTAAGTGTATATATAACAAAACATGCACTTATATTTATTCGTCAATAGAGGGCGGTGTGTTCTCATAATGACAAAAAAATCCTAAAGCAAAAAATTCTAAACCTACAGCTGAAATAGATATTGAAGCACTTTTATGTAAGGGGTTGCTTTATTATCAGTTGGATTATAGTTCATATTTGTCTTTCTTGTGATAATGCTGACTACATTTTCTTTGAAGTGTATCAAAGTCAAAGTCAGCTTTATTGTCAATTCTGCCACATGTACAGAACACACATGGAATTGAAATTACGTTTCTCACAAACCCACTTCTGACTTTTGGCAATATACTTCTGTGCAAAAGTCTTAGGTTGTAAAAGTTTAAAGCTATTTATCTGGGTAATAAGTGAGTATTACTGCTCAGAGAATATAGCAAAAGATATAAAAATGAGCAATAAAAAGTAACAGGAATTTATGTTGTTCTCCAAAAAATTACTGGTATCTTGTTGGATGGCTAGAGGAACATCGATTCAGTTCCGAAACCTTTCCTCGGGGTCTCCCCAGACATCTACTTAATCACTTAATTATGTAATTCAATTAATTAACTTATCACATGCATGATCAGACCACAGTACTGTAAACACAGTGCTTTTATCAGCCAGACAAGCTTCTTAAATTTTATTAGAAAATAATGGAATGTGAATCATTTTATTAACTTTGTACTGCCTCCAAAAATATAAAATGCACGGAAAGTTAAAATATGCACGGCACTTACATTAAAGCAGAGTTGAATTTTGTCTGATTCACAGATCTCTTTTCTCCAAATACTAATCATATCCTGTTTTATAACCGTGGTGTAAATATCAGTGACCAGCAGATGGGCAAGGTAGCATTATACGGGGGGAGGGGGGGGACCGTAGGGCACCCCCCCCCCCCCCCCCGGCTGACCTCCATGTCTGGTGACTGTGAATCATCTTCGCATGACTCCACTGCTAGTGACTCAGCTCCGGCAGATTAAATCACACCACAGCCTTGCTCTCTGGACATCGGCTCTTTTCGAGGGTTACTACTATCACTGCATTCATTGGGGTCGTAGTTACTTTTTAAATGCACATCTAACTCACAAGCACACACATATCTTTATGCTCTATGCTATTGTTTTACCCTATATGATACATAGTGATCATTGGGGGTGTAACATCTTGAAGACCACATGTAACAGTCACGTAGATTGTGAGTAGATCTTGGGAAAATCATTTCATATTCTGACCTGCGTCGGACTGTGGGAATGTGTAGGGCTCTCTTAGTGGGTGCACTTGCTTGTAGGTGTGTAGTACCCACCACCCACGTTAACAGGGGCATCTGTCACACCCGGGAGGGGGGGGGGGTGATTCTGAATCTCTTTTCTCAAGGCACCTTTGAAACTTTTTGCTAGACAGCTGCCGCATGGTCCTTCATCTGTCACCATAGCAACGGCCTTCAGGATTCTCAGTTCTCTGACTTCAGAGGCAGCCTCGATTCTCTTTGTGGGAGCATCACTAACTGCAAAAAAAGCCACAGTGGTTGCTGAAGTCCTTTATTCTTTCATTTTTGGAGTTGCTTCTTCCTCGTAATGTGGTTTAATCATCTCTTCGGAGCCTGTTTTCTTGTAATTACCTGGACTTTCTGTGAAAACACTTTCATAGTTCTGGAAACCACATTAACGAAAATTTAATCTTGGAATAAGAACATAAGAACATAAGAACATAAGAACTATACAAACGAGAGGAGGCCATTCGGCCCATCGAGCTCGCTTGGGGAGAACTTAACTAATAGCTCAGAGTTGTTAAA